ATAACAGCAGTGCGACACTTCATTCTCCCGCACTTGAGTTCAGGGTGTGTTCCCCTTGAGGTACAACTAACTGCAGGTATGCTCTTTTCCAGAAATACCAATCACCCATTATTTAAATTTTTAAGCGTTAATCCATAAATAATAATTAGCATGTCACTTCCAAAAACCACCTTACAAACCAACAAGAAGCTAACAATCTACTAAGTCATGGGATATGCATAAATTTAACACTTCCAGCCAAACTTTGCTATTTTCTCAGTCTTGATCTGAAGCAAACCTGCACCGCACAGCAAAGCTCAGCCCTCCCATGCACAGCATCCTCGTGTTTCAGTCTGTGTAGAAATTAAGAGATCCTGGGGTAGCTCTATACAACCTGATGAAAGCAGGAGTCTTAGGCCTGTTTAGAGATTTACCTTCTTGGCATCTTCTTACCTTCTTTATTAGCTATGTATGGTTTATGATGATATTACCGCTTGTGAAAACACATATTCAGAGGTCAGACAACTTAGATAAGAGCTATTTCACATATAGATGATAACAGAGCGAGCAGACAAATCATTTGTTGTCTAAACAAAAGATCTGCAGAGCAAGAGGTAGTGCTACAGCTGGATAAAGGTTTGGGGGTTTTTAAGTCAAATAAAATAATCAGTGTAGAATGGTCATGCTTGAAACTGTTAACCAACCTGCTCTGCAACTTAGTGCTGCACCATGAATGGAAATGTCCAAAAAAAACCCTGACTGCAGCTATGGACTCTGTAATACAACTAAGCAGGACTTCATTTCTTCTCATTAATTGAAGATCCCCTTATGTGTCTTTTCTAAAATAGTCTTTGCCACCAAGTGCTCTTAGCTTTTTGGGCAGTGTTGTAAGAAGTTTTTCTTTATTACTTCATGCAAATTTGTATCTAAATAAAACCACGTTCCATTTCGATGACATGTAAAGACACCGGCTTCTGGCCAAGTATCAGAACTCTAAAAGTACTTCTGCGCTAATACCTGTCTTGTCTTGCTGCTTCCCCAGTGAACTTAGGATGATTAAAGTCCTCCTCAAGTTCTGAGGCAGCAAACACCTGACACCACAGTTTGTAACACAGAGTTATCCACAGCACAGATGCAATTCTATCCGTGGACTACGCATCACATAGGAACGTAGAAATTTTCTGTCCTTTGGGAGTTTCAGTGATTTTACAATATTCACAATGTATTGATAAATACAAACCTTGCCTAAAAAAACCCAAACTGCAGTCAGATAGAGGAACTCAACCCAAAGTGAGTAACCAGTTTTAGCTTTCCTCTGGTATTTATTCCATAAACATCTGCTATTTTTTAATTAAGAGATTTGTCATTGATGTTTATTTGCTATGGAAGAAAGCCTCACAATCTCTAAATGTAAGACAAATTAGTTCAGAAACAGTAGCTCTTGGTTCTGCTTGACAGTGTCCGTTAAAAACCTACTTCAAGGGTAGTAACTTCAGTTCATTAGTGTGAGGAGTTTCCATATTAACAACCGAACAACCACAACACAAATTTCAGCATGGGATAAATTATCAACCTGTACCTCAAAAACTCTTGCAAGAAATTACCCATTTTAAAGGTATACGCTCACATCAACTGCGAGCGACGTGCAACTTACTCTGAGAACAATTGTCTTTCCAACATATCCAAAAAGGAAACAGAATGGGATCCAAAATACCATCACAAAATAAGGTTCACATCCTAATTCCTTTTCACAACACCAAAACAATCACCAAATTCAAAGTAAATGCTCAGAAACTTTCCTTTCCAGCATGTATTACAAGCTAGCCCATGCACCTGTGCACTTCGCGGTACAGTAATTTTTAAATACTGACTGTTTAGGACGTATGGCCTCTAGAAATGAAACCTCACAGCTACATATTTTCATCCCAGGTTAAAAATAAAACCCACGCTCTTGAACCAGAGCTGTTGCTTGCACTCGCAGGGAAGGAGACAGCCTCTCCGATGTCCCCGGAGAACCCCGGCGCAGATGACAATACCATAACGAACCTGCGCGCCCCAGCAGCCCGGATATTTTAAGTAGTAAATCTGAAACCCCGAGCCTAAACCGAGCTGGATCCAGCAGCTCGCTCCCCTCCAAGCGCAGCCTCTCGTTTCTCGGAGCTGGCTGTAAACAGGGGAAGGGAGGGGCCTGCCGCCTGCCAAGCCAAGCAGAAACTTGTGAGTAACTTAGAGAGGAAAAACAAGTGCAGCGCAGGCAGCAGAGCCGCACGCTGCCGGCAGCGGAGCACCATGTTTTGGAGGAGAAACACGACAGGGCTTTGCAGCCGGCCGCCTTCCTCGGAAACGCCGCTCATCCAAAGCGTGCGGGTCCGGCAGCGCGGAGGAATGTAAAATGTGAATTAAAGGTAAGAGGTTTTAGGGCAGCGCTGTGAGGTTGGGGCCGTGGGAAAGGCAGGCTGGGGAGCGAGCGGCGGCTGGCAGGACGCGCTTTTCCTTCTACATTTTAAGTCCCGATTTTAATTTTCGGTGTGATGAAAGTGTAGAAGCAGACACGAGCAGGGAAAGCAGAGCCAGCCCGCGGTAAACAGGAGGACTGCAGCATTCACTTATGCAACAGTCACCCTCGGACCGCAAAACTGCTTCTGCCTGGAGAAGGGGTTAGTTTAGGTTGATCCAGTAAAGCTGCAGCATCGTAAGGATGTACCCAGGCATGGTCAGTGGAGACAAAACTGCCCTTAAAATGACCAAGACATGGCTGGGTCAGAAATGCTGAGCTGGGCCTGTACAGCACAGCAAACAGGTTCAGTGCCTTCACAGGTACTTGACTATTAACAATGGGTGATTTCTGCATTAATGGCAAAAATATCTCATCTGGTAATTTAGAAGTCATCCAAAAATTTCTTCTGAAAATATTTTTATTTCTGACTTAATTTTTGCTCATTTCAGAGGTAAGTGTAATTTTGTAAGATTACTATTAAACACAATGAATCGCCTACCATTTCTAGCATTAAAACAGAATTGTCTTATTTAACTGCAGTTAGAGGTTATACAGTTAAAAGGGATAATTAGTAAAAACACTTGTGAAAACAGACATCCAAAATAGAAAGCATGGTAGCGGAGACTGTTGATCCTGTGAGACAGCATACAGGCAGGTATTCTGTGGCTGATGTAATTCAGTCTGGAGTAATCAAAGCTACATGCTTAAGGATAAACCTACATAATGGAATTATGTGATCGTATCCATGCTTGTGCTTAGTCACCCTTGCGCTCACTGTAACGTATATATTTGCAATATCTAGTTCCAGTCTGCTGCTTTGGTTGAATCAAGTCATAACAGTTCAGTGGGATGTAATTTTGGTTGCCTTCAACTGTACAAATCAGCTTTTCTTTAAAAAAACCAAAACTTTCTTAAAACCTTAAAGCAACAGATACTTCCTGAAAATGAGTTGTTTTCAGCGCTCGAAAATAGTATCAGGATTGAAGGACAAAGATTTCATACCTTCTATTCATATGCAATACTACAGCTAAGGAACTGATTTGAGAAAACAAACCAAAAATAGTTTTTCCACAAAGGTGAAAGCAAGCTTTGAAACCAACTGGGCTGCATCTTTGTACATTTATCTGAGGAAATCCAGCACGTGACAGTGGAATAAAAATTTGTTTGCCCAGCTAAAATTCCTGTATTTTTAGCCAGATATCTGGCACAGGCTGTGGTATTTAGAAGAAAAATGCATACAGAACAACTGCAATGGGAAATAAGAAATGGAAGTTGACATGATTCTGGAACAAAATCCGTACTATGGCTGAAGTGTCAAAGGACTGGCACTGGAGAGATGCAGCCACGTATCCCTGTGTGTACAAACCCCATGCTGTATAATTTAGCTATAGCGTTCATTCATTTTAATTGCACAATGTTTATTGTGGATCTGATTAAATCTCGTTCCCTCTCTGGAAAGAACACAGGTCCGTGTATTTATACTTTCCTGTGCGTGTTAAAAGGGAAGCACAGCAAACACTCGAGTACCTGATGGTGACAGGGTACACGTGATGCGGGAAATCACCTCCTGCGTAACTGCCCCAGAAGTGGGCTGGCAGGAATCACCACCACGGTTTTAAGGCTGTGAATGTTTCCAGTTGCACTTTAGAGATTACTTATTTCTGCAGTTTGGAAAGAGACTTTTCATGATCGCTTTGAAGTTCCCTGGTTTCAGTGAAAATGTTACCTCTCTACTGATGATAAAGCACAGGTAGCTGGTCGACAACTACTGATACTAGCATACTTTTTAAAGAATTCAAGCTATTTTGTGAGTAAATGATAGCTAATTCTTGCCTTTTTGGAAAGTCAGGCTGCCCTGATATTAGGTTCCCTAGACTACAGAGGTCCATTGTTTTTTCAGATCTAAACGGTTACAGGTTGGAAGTCTGAATACAAACTGACCTGTTAAAAACCCCTTCGCCTCACTTCCCGCTTTCCTCTAGTCTTTGTCAGTTGTATCAGTGATCCGGTATATATCCACCATCTACTACGGTGAATATGCCTCCTAAGAAGCTATATTTTTAAGAGAAAGCCTGTTTAACACCTTAGAAAACTATATTCTCCATCTTATTGCCAGGATTTCTTCTTCAGCTTATATCCTTCAATTCTTCAGCAACTACTTTTATATATTACTAGCTATATAAAAGGCACTGTTTAATAATTAGGAACATTGTACTAATCTTCATATATTACACCAGTACTTAAAGTTACAGTTTATTATTTACTTCTGTTGAGTGTCCTGTATCGACTCATTTGCTACTAATTTAAATTAAAACTTCAGCACATTTACATCTCATGAAATTTTGAATCACAGATGAGTTCCTTCTACACTTAACAAGATCAAAAGGCATTTCAGTCACTGACCTTAAATTGATCAGTTATATAAAGCATTCGATCTCTGTCTTTGCTTTCTTCATACTACATTGCATTTCACTTACGAGATAATATTTCAGCAACACTTTCTGTATTTCTCTCTCTACAGAAAAGCTGGTGACCAGCGGAGAAGATACAGAAGCTAAAATCACTATGTGGAGCTGTGAGACCTTAAACAACAGTACGGAGAACAGCGAGGACCAGCATCTCTGCCATGACTTCCACCTCGTGCTTTCCATCTTTTCCCTACTCTACCTCATTATATGTTTCCCAATTGGTCTGTGTTACAATGGCTTGCTGGTCCTAGTTAATCTCTATAACAAAGCTACTATGACTATGCCAGACGTTTACTTTGTCAACATTGCCATTGCCGGTCTCATCATCAACGCGCTGGCCCCAATGTACCTTCTAGGTCTTGCCAATACAAAGTGGGCCATCTGGAATTCTAATAACGAAGTTTATATTACCTTACTTATTTTATTCAATGTCTCGTCTTTAGTTACCATGTATTCTACAACGTTACTCAGTCTGGACTACTACATCGAACGTGCTCTACCTAGAACTTACATGTCAAGCGTGTACAACACCAAACATGTGTGTGGATTCATATGGGGTGGTGCCATGCTCACAAGTTTTTCATCTCTCCTGTTCTACGTCTGCAATCACGTATCCACTAAAATCATTGAATGTTCCAAGATGCAGAACAAAGAAGCGGCAGATGCGATTATGGTTTTTATCGGGTATGTTGTACCAGCCGTCGCTGTACTCTATGCACTTATATTGATCTTGCGAATACGCAAAGAGGCTACGCCACTGGATCAAGACACTGGACGATTGGATCCATCGGTGCACAGGCTTTTGATCGCCACAGTCTGTACACAGTTCACACTATGGACACCCTACTATGTTATTCTCTTGGTAAGCACATTTACTAATGCACAAGGAAGAATCGCAAATGAAAGTTACGGTCGTATATTACATTTTACCAAGATTTTATCAAAATTCTTGGCTTTCTCAAGCAGCTTTGTAATGCCTCTGCTCTACAGATACATCAACAAAAACTTTCCCAACAAATTACGACGTCTGCTTAAAAAGATACACTGTGGGAATCAAGGGTGTTCTCATGAACGCACAGTAGTACAGCAAGTAATGACGTAGGTATGAAAAACCCCTCCGGTGCTCTGTTACTGCAGTACTTGGCATCCCAGTACTGGACTGGGATATTGCTGTGGTGGCACTCAACGTGAGCGGCCCAACCAAGAGGCTGGAAGGAGCTTTCCCTTACAGCTTCATGAAACAAGTCTTAATTTTCAAGTAGTTAATTGTTTGCTGAAATCTTGTGAGGCTCTGGCCTATGCGCTGTAAGACCTGTGACTTGTAATACTTTCAGTGCACTGAATTGGTTACAAAGCATGAACTCTGTCTTCTTTGTTCTAATAATCCTGTATGAAGAAATAACTAAGCAGTTTATTGAAGTCTTGGCTGAAGACACAGCACCTTGTATCTTGTATAGAAAATGGTATTACCTTATTTTCTGTACAAAGAAGTAGCAGGGCTATCCTTGATGAAGTAAATAGCATTTTTCAATGAAGACTACATAGATGATCTTTACTAAAGATCTTACTAGCCAGTTATACATGTCCAAGTAGTAAATGTTAATTATAAATTAAATTATTTAATTTCTTTCTCCATCACTGAATCCCCTCTAAAAGAAGCCTAATTTACCATTTTCAGAAATTCTCACACAACCTAACCTAAGTTTTAACATCTATGGTAAATTGGTTTTTTTCCTAGATACAGCAATTAACAACAATGTGTTTTATTTTTCCAGTGCTTGCTTTGCATCCTAAAACATTTCAAGAATTCAGAAATATTTATTAACTAATTCTAAGGGAACCGAGAGATGTTTGTTCCACATATTGAAATGAAGGACACAGTGGTTTACAAAGTTAAATTAAAGCTTAACTAGTAAAGAATGTCTGGCTAATGTTATGGTCCACATATGTTCATGTAACAAGAGTAATTATCTTAAAAATAAATATGTTTATGATTAACATTTTGTATTTTCAAGAGATATGTTTGCAAGAAATAAATTAAAATTTCTTTAATCTAGGGCATCACTGGAGGTTTGGAAACTATACAAAATCCTTCAATACGTACAAGATTTTTAAATGGGAGTAATCTGTAGGAATCCCAGTGAGCATCAGCTTTTTGCTGACCTCTCAGAAATGGAGTGCCTCCCAACGTGATTCTTGAATGCACACAATAAAAGTATAGTTTCTGTATTTCACAGTGGGGATGAAGAAATCCAATCCAGATTGCCAAATTGTACTGAGTCTATGAAATACAAGAGAAACACAAACATGCTGCAGGAAGCAAATTAAGTTACCCACAACAGCAAACTGCAGAACGTCGACCCGAGAGCTCCCTGTTCTGTGCTGCTGTTGCATTATTAATGGCAGTGGGAGGCAGAATTTAAACTGGTGTTTTCCCACTGGTTTGCGGGCAGCAAGACACCTTTGTCACTCACCCCACAACACACAGAGTCATTTCATACCTTAATCGGTCACGATGCAACTCAGAGTCTCTGTGACTATTCAAAAAATGCAGTTTTTCAAGCCTCTGGTATAGGAAAAAAAGGGAGCAAAACCAGTATTGAAACTTTTCCATCGCTTATAGCACAATCTCATCTGATAATTGCTTCTAATTTGTCAGCATAGAGGCAACACTTCGGTTACTTTTAAGGGAAGCAGGTGAGAAACAGCCTTTTCAGGTCTTTTCCCTTCTTCTCTTCAACGTAATTCACGTAGTTTCTTCTCATTGCCATCTTTGCTTACCTTCTCCATGCATAAGCATCTAAACTATCAACATCCTGGAGGAAGACTCCCCATTAATCTTTACTTTTTTAAGAGCTTTTCATATTTTATTGAATTTGGTTTAACCCTCAAAGTCTATACATTAAATCATGTGTTTCTATGGCGTTTTCTCCACACACAAAACACCCAGCACAACTACGTCAATTTACTTCATAGTTTTAGCCTGTTTATGAAAACCACATTAAGGAATGAAGCCTTTCTTTATCATCATGTCCAATTCTCACACTAATTTATAGTGCCTTGATGCTGACATGATACTGGCTGCTTTGGATTTTTTCCCCTTGAGAGGTTTTCTATGAATTTCTACACATCCTGAGCATTTAAGCTCACTTCCACACAAATGCTTAAGAAAGAAATCCTTCCTTAAAACTGTCAAACAGATAGGCTCTGCTTCTTCCCACTCGAGGAAAATTAGGTTTCCTAATGCACCACATGAAATCTGTCATGTGAAATCTGTTAAAGAAATTCCATCCCATTACGCAGGAAAAATTCCAGCAGGGAGGAATTACCTGGTGTGGAGAGAGGCTTCCTGAGCCAGGGCACGGCCAGGGCTCTGTGGCTGAACAGGCAGCATTAAGTGCAATTTTAACTTCCATGTTGCTTCCTTAGTTCTGTTTCCCCCTTCTCCCAAAACATCTCACTTGCTGTCTCTAACAGGACTGTTGTATTTATTTCTCTTCCTTTCCATGTTAAATTCCTGGTTTCAGATCACGGTTCTTTTATCATTTACCTTTTTCATTTCTCTGTGCTATTTATTTAATTTTCATTTTGCTTCTCTGTTTCCATCTGTGCTTGGTCTTACACACTCAGTACCATTCACCACTCACATTTACTTCATCAGATTGACTCCTTTACGATGACTCAAATCTTACTGAATGATTTGACTTTACAAATGGATTTACATAGTAAAATGGAAGCTGTTTTTTAAGAGATGGAGAAAGAACAAGTTTTTATATAATTTACCCTTGAAATGCCAATATTTTTCCTAGTCTCTTTTTAATGCAGCAAGTATGTTTGCATGTATCCTTGATAATACTGTGACTGCAATCACGTAGACAACTTTCATAATTTAATGAACAAGACTGATACCTGTTCAACTTATATATCAAATTAACTTTTAAAACAAGTTGCCTCAAAGAAGCTGTGCCATGGAGCTGCCTGACTGCTGTTGTCTTAAGGAAATTGTGAACTTAACTGCAGCACCCTCACATGGTATCTCTTGAAAAGCAGTATTCCAAAAAACAAGAACTTTGCAAAAGCAAGTGCAGTAAAATACTTAAGGAAATACATGGCATCATAAATATGGAAGAACTATTATGGGCAAATCTTTAATAGACAAAGTTCTCCAGAATGGGGCCTTTCCATTTCACATACCTGAAGGTTTCTGGTGACTGTAAATAGGGGCTTAGCTTTCACACTTAAATAAATATTAATAAAATACTGTATATATGCAAGATAAAAATCAGTCTACTGATGTAAAAAGAACTTGCAAAGAATTTATTAAATTATTTCTTGAAGTGTATCATTGAAATGTAAACCTTTGAACAGTAAGGTGTACTGTACGTTTCTGTATGTATATACTGTGTACTAGAAAGTAAGCACTAGTTAAGTGCCATTATTAACAGTGTTATTTTCTCAAAAAATTAGATTTAATATTTGAGTTGATCTACGACTTACAGCCCTCTTGCTCAACTGCCAAATAAGTCAAATTCAGTGAACTAACAAAAATGCTGCTCTCTGCTTCTGCTTAAATTATTAACATAGCTAGCTCAAGACAGGTTTCGTTTCAGAATCAAATGGAGTTGGTCTCTGAAGACATAATTTCGGTTAATGAAAGTAATCAACCCCCTAGAAAATTTATGGTTCTGTTAAAATGGAGAGATGTGGCCTTCAATGTTATGTCAAAATACTACAGAAATGGATTTCTGCAAAGCTTGGAAAAGGAACTATTGACTCATAATAAATTCTCAATAAAAATTGTGTGTCTGGTTAGTAAGATGTGTGATTTTGTCTTGGCCTTCTTGACAAAAACCTATTGTAGACAAGGTTAAAGGCGTGTTGCTTCACTGAATCAAAATATAACAAACTGCATGACTTGGATGTTGAAGCAGACAAGTTATCAGATTTTCCAGGCCCTAATTTTGACATCATTAAAATCTCATTATTCATTAGCATGAAATTATCTGGGAATGAAAGCAAAAAGGCACACACCCCCCAGCTCTTTTCAGCCTAAAGAATCCAGCGACTAATAGGATAGAGTAACGTTGCACCACAGCGGGACGGGGCTGGTGATTGATGCAACCATCGGCCATGGCCTTGTCACCTCCTCTCCTTTGTGCTGCCACAAATGAGATCTCAGAAATCAGCTTCCTGCAGAAATTCTCTGGGTTCCCAGAACAACATAATGTAATAACCCACACCTCTGGCATCTTGAGGAAAATTTAGTTTTAAGAATATAATATTCTTCATAATACGCTTACTGCAGTAACCACTGCATATAACAGTCATCATGGAACAGCTGGTTTACTCCATATATGAAAATATTTTCCTGGCTCCACTTTCAAAATTATTAGTTTGTTCCATTTAAATTTTCTGTGAAGTGTAGGGAGACAGCAAGTAAAATCAAACTCTGGTGAATTCCTTAAATAAAATAAAACTTCGTCCAAGGCACTTCTGAGTGTTAAGTCTCAGTGAGAAATAAATTAAAATGGTGACTGTGAAAGTGGAAGTTGCAGCATTACATCATTTAGTCAAAACCCAGTATCTGACGAGATGCCCTTATTTCCATACAACGTTTAGGGAGTATTTTCTGTTTAACTGGAGAGGCAGCATCTCTAAAGAAACACAGAGTAGTGATTTTCTGATGTTTCACTCCTCAGAGCTTTAAGACATAACCATTATACATGAAAAGGCTATTGTTTCTCATCTGGATTAGCAAAACTCCGTTTACACAACACAGACTTGAAGGATCTTAAATGAGAACAGAGCTACTTAATAAGCAGCAAGTTGTCAGGCCTACAGGTCTGTGAAGGGTGAACTTCTACATAAATGCAAGTAAATAGCTGATCAGGTACAACCAAGTCAATAGGCTTAAACTCATCCAAACCAGGCCAACATGGCACCAGAACGTGCCCTTTTCTGTCAATACAAAGAGATTTCACTGAAGACAACCACATTTTGGAGCAGTAACAGAAAATATGCATTTAACTATTACGTAACAGGAAAATAGGCCCCGAGGTTGCCAAGAATATATGACAGAAAACCCAAAGGGAAGTAACACTT